ACATATATAAAATGAATAAAAACGAGATGTTTTCAAGATAAATAGGCAGGTAATAATAATAATAGTATAATTATAGTAATAATAATAATAATTATAATAACAATAATAATAATAATAATATTAAAATTAAACTGGGTATTGAATTGAACGGTGCAGCAATTTATCACGGGACTGGACACTGATTAATTGGTATCCGTAATTTAATCTAAAGCTGCTTATAATAATCTTTTGCAGGATGGAATGTTATATCAGAGAGCTGCCTACCCGTTTTAGATTATTTTATGGAATTTCAGAGAATATAATTCTTTTTCTTTTTTTTTTTTCTTAATTTTTTTTATTATTAATTTCTTTTCTTCCTCATTTTTTTTTTGAATCATTTTCTCGTATTTTTCCGTTTGAAAAATTTCATCTCATTTTTTTTTTGCTTTAATTTTATAAAAACAAATCTCATCACATCCCAACTGTTGCTTCAGAGTATATAATTTACAATAAAATGGCATAGTAAATTAGTTTAATACTTAGTTTTTTTCTTTCTTTTGTCGTTATTTCTTTTTTTTTTTTTTTTAGATTGTATAGAAAGATTGATTGAAGTCTATCCGACTAATGCAAATACTCCAAAAAATATTAATCGTAGTGGCAGTCATATATATACACACACATATATATATATATATATATACGTTAATTTGTCTAAAATTAGCAGTTTTAAGAATATATAAATTATAAAGACATGTCCGCAGAAAGTATATAGAATTTTTCTGGTTTTCTAAATTAGCTTTTTGCAAAGGTACAGCATTCGATAGGACATTTCTTAGTGAGAGTCAGATATCTCTATGTATTCAGAAAGATTAAACATTGTATTATCATTACTCTTATTTGTACTGATTTACATAGAATGGGCGCGAGGAAAATTTTCTATAACAAGGAAACAAAATTATTTATCGCAGACAAGCTAAGAATAAATTATGCTTGATTTTACTCTTGCTACTATATATATATACAGGATATCATATAACAGTTGGTATAAACATACAGGTAATGATTCTACATGAAAAACTAAATCGGAAATGTATAATAAAATTTGTTCATATAAGACTTTTTCTTCTTGAGAAAAATAAGTTTGAAAATTTGCCGAGTACTTATCTTTTGTATCAATTTTATTTTTATGCTTGTCGAATAGGCTTTCAGTTTACAGGATTGCAAGTTTAAGTTAAGTGCAGAGAATCATCTGCTCACTTGTATTACCAATTATAGAGGACACCCTGCATATATTAAGCTTGGATATAAATTAATTTAGTTTCATCTATAGCCAATAGAAATTATTTTTGTTTTAACCATGCAGTATGCGATGAAGTCGTAAGATGCAATCACAAAGATTATAAGTACAAGGATGAAAATATAAGAAAATACCACTTTACTACGCATCCCATTCTATTACTCTACTTAGAGAAAGACTTATTTCAAAATAAAATAATAGCAAGCACGCATAAATGTTATTACTATTATTATTATTATTAGTAGTAGTAGTAGTAGTAATAGTAGTATAGTAGATCATTTTTATATATAGTAACAAATATTATTATACCACTTAAAAATATTACCTCACAAAATTTGTTGTCGTAATATTAAATAAAATGGCAACGGTATTACGAGCGTTCTATCACAGCGTAAAATCTCTAAAAATTGGGATGATTAAAATAACAAAAATAAATCTTTCTCCATGTAGAACCATCAATTATTATGTAAAATATATCTAAATACAAATTGTCAGTATTGTACCATTTCTAACTATTTGAAAAAACGTGGCAAAAGCATCAAGATTTACATCAAAGATAATCGTAATCTTTATATCTCTTACATCGAAGAATAATTCTTGATGAATTCCATTATTTTTAATTACATATTTTAATATAATTTGTGTTTGTTTTTTAATTTTTTTTTAATGCGTTCGCTTTCTTAAAATCTTGTTTTTCTTTGTATCTCTTACCTTAATAATGTCGAATCGTGTATATATATTTAATATTAAGTTCATTTTTTGTAGTTAGCTTTAATACTCTACTATCGATCACTACTGAAATTTGTATAATCGTTTGCGAAAAAGTTCGGTTTATATTATTTTCATATATATATATATATTCATGTATATCTATAGATTTTTGTTTTCTTTTTTTTTCTCTCTCTCTTTTTTAACATTTATAGATTTATATGAAACTTCATTCACAGGTAGCATTCGCGCCCACGAACCCTAAGTGATCATCGTATCTTATTGTTTACTTTGAGGAGCTTGAAAAGAGGTTTACGCAAAATGCGTCAATAGTTGGGAGGTAATTCTGGTCAGTGCTTTCAGTTTTAACGATCGAGCAGAATTAACTAACAATTATGAAAAGGAAAGGGTAAAGAATAGTGCGTGACAATCTATTTTTTTTTTTTGTTCTTTTTAGATTTAAGATATGAAACTATTAATTGCTCTCATAAATATTATTTTGAAACGTCGATAGTATCGCATTATTATTATTATTATATCTCGCGTTATTAATTAAAAGAATCACAGAAATCAGGTAAAAAACAACAATTTCTGTTATCCGTCTTCTATACAGGCTATTTTACGCATTATTTTTGTTTTAAAACGAATAATACTCATAACTGGCACGGCAGGCATCTGAAATGAACCGTAACTCCAGCTTTGTTTATGAAAAAAATGAAGAATTTAATATTGTGTTTCATTTTTGATGGTAGGCATAACATTAAAAACTCTCATATCAAGTAGATAACAATAACCAACAACTAACAATCGTAGGCATTCACGCAAAAATAGAAATATGTTTAATAATATATAATAATATTATTATAATTTATAGTATCGAAGTGTGTGTAAGTATGATCCTTTGCCTATGAATACTAGAGTACTAGAGTTAAATAGTGTCAATGACTAGAGCTGAAAGATTCTCAAATGTATTATTTTCTATATAATAGTGTGATAATATAGAACTTTAAAGGAATTATTTAATATTAATTAAATATTATTATATTGGAATTTGAAATCAAAACTGTTCGAGCATATATGAGTTCGAAAGAAGGGACACATTTGATATATTTTAATATTTTTTTCGAAACACAATCAATGTTTTCTTAATAATATTCAATTGTCCAATTCATCTTTGTCAAATAATTAAAACAATGATCATTTAATTCAACTGAATTCTCAAAGACCTTCAGCTCAAATCATATCTCACAGAGTTCTGTTAAATCGCTAACAACGAGAGTAAGGGTTTTGCCTTAGTTATGTTCTACAATATAATTTCTACATTTCCAGGTTGAAAGAATAAATCGGTTATTTGACAAGGGGTGTCCTCGAAAAGATATTCAAAGCTTTTATAAACTTTTGAATTATATCATTTCGTGTATTGCCGATTAAAAATATTTATGATACTTAAAAAAGAATCTTATTGCAATTGATTAAACAATAAGATATCTTTTTTGTTCACTACCCTTGTAAATATAGTTCTTTTTTTTTTTTATTCTTCTTTTTCTTTTACATCGGACACAGAAGACAGAGTTACACTGAGAAAACATGGTTTTGTTTTTATTATTTCTTTTTTTGTCGTTTTTGTTCTTTCCTCTTTTTCTTTTTTTTTATTGTTATTGTTGTTGTTGTCCATATTATTATCATCATGCCATTTACGAGTTACAAACTTTTCAACAAAATAAATCTATCGACTTAATCAATTATCATTTTATCGAAGAATCCCTAAATCCATGAAAACGGATACTCATTTGTCACAGTTTTATTTTATTTTGTTTGTTTAATATTTTTTATATTTTTTTTTACTTTCCTTTAACGTTTCGCTTATAAGCTTCAAATAAAATCAAATTAAAATTATAAAAAAAAAAACGAAAAGAAAAAAAAACAAATCTATTATTTATCCAAAATCAATAATTAATTTTTTTTTTTTAATAAGAAATTGTAAATTTCTTTTTTTTTTATGTTTCTCTAAACCTTAAAGTACAAAACAATAAATTATAATCTACGCGCACACACGCAATATTTTATTATAAATCTTTCATAAAAAAGAAAAGAAAAATATAAACGATTCGAATCGAGGCAGAGTTGGAATGTACTAATATGCATATTTAGTGATATACACACACACATGTAAACTGCATCCTTAAATAATGTATGTAAAAACGAGGAGACTCACGTACGTGGTTTTTGTTAAAAAACAAATTATCAAAATAAAATTAATTTAATTAAATTAAATTAATTATATAAGAATATTTATAATATTATTTATAACAATAATAATTATAATAATAATAATAAAATAATAATAATAATAATAATAATAATAATAAACATAAAAATAATAATAACAACAACAGATAGGCAGTAAAAAGATAGTGATGCAGTTACATACTTTGTATTATACGACGTGAAGAATTTATAATCAATGTTCTACTTAATAATAATAATAATAATAATTAAGAAAAGAAAGTGTTGACAATCTTTTGATTGAAAAAAAAAAAAAAAAAATAAAAAAGAAATGATCTGAACGATAAATACAAAATCATCAAAAATCAATATCTATCTTGCCGTATATTTGTTCCGACATGCTCTCGATACGAATCGTATTGAAATAAAAAAAAAAAAATAAAATAAAAAGAAAGAAAAAAAAAGAAAGAGAAAATCTTCATCGATCCTTGGACGACGAAGAAATAATTTGCAGTTTATTATTTAATTAAAAATAAAAATAATACAAAATAATTACGAGAGAAATAAAAAGAAAGAAAGAAAGAAAGAAAGAAAGAAAGAAATTATATAAGTAATTTCACTTTCGCTTGCTTATCATTAAATATCTATAAAAAAAATGTGTTCAATATTTTTGTATGAAAAGAATAAAGTAAAAAAAAAATAATAATAATAATAATAAGAATAAGAAGAAAAATAAAAACTAAAAAATCCGTAAATTCTCTATTTTAATAATTCTTCAATGTTGTTGTTGTCTTAATTTTTGTTGCAATTGTTACCATTGTTATATAGTAAGTAGTATGGTGTTAACGTATAGCTCTGTTTTCTTTCTAATTTCTTTTATTTTTTAATAATCCCATAATTAATCATCTTTCTACCCAGCGTTATTTCCTTTTGTTAATTTATCTTTCTTTCTTTCTTTCTTTCTTTCTTTCTCTTTTTCTCTCTCTTTCTCTCTTCCTATCTTTTTTTTCATCTTTCCTTTTTACATTTTGAATCTCTTTCACCTTTCGTTTAGAGATCGGTGTGCCCTAAAATGAGACACACCTTTTGTTCCTCTTAGATGCATTCTTCAAGGGGTCTCTCCAGCATCTCCTTTAGGAAGTCTTCGATTGGTATGTTACCGACCAGCTTATAGAAGAAAAGTTGTTCGAGACATTTGAGGGCGATTGAACGAATGGATGGTAAGCGAAGTAATAACTTAGCGAATCTTCCTGAATCGTTCGGACAAGATACACGTGTATAATCTTCTAATGCTGCGTAAACCTTCTCACGTAGAAGACCGACCTCTTGGATGGATTTTAAACCTCGTACATCAGGATTGTACAGGATTATTGATCTATTGGAATGTTAGAAAAAAAAAAAAAAACATCAAAAAGAGAACAGAAAAATAGAAATATTAGAAAACACATAAAAAGTAATATAAATTGTAGGGAAAATATAATTTGTGGGATATGTGGATTGGTTCAAATTTTGATTGTGTCCATTTTTTTTTTTTTTATGTAAAAATTATGTCTTTTTTTACTGCGTATTATAAAAAAATTGAACGTATAATATATAATATAATAATATTAACTCCTTAACCTACGATTTATGTTCGAGAATTTAAGGCCGAAAACGTAAACAAGTTCGCGCAGGCTTCGAGCCATTCGCACGACTTGAGTAATACACTGATCGAGCAAAACGTAAATATTGTGATCATCGTACTACAGGCTATGCCCGTAGGATTTACGTTTGGCCCGATCATCGTACACGGGCTCTATGCCCGTAATATTTAAGTTTGGCCCGATCATCGTATACGGGCTATGCCCGTAATTGTAGGTTAAGGGGTTAATAATAAAGTATTCTAATTTAATATATATATATATACACCATATTAAATCAATTGGAATATTTGAATGAAATTATATTCTAATAATATTTTGTCTATATTTTGTTTGTTTTTCTAATATAGATTAGGATTAAAGAATGACTGACCTGAGACAACCTATTTCAGTTTTGTCCACCTTCATATCTCGCATCTTGGTTACAAGTTCGGATAGGACGTGATCAAATATCGGGCTTACGCCAGTATGTGGTGCCAATTCACGGTTGATGAGAAAACCATTTGCCAAAACAAGACAATCCTTGTAAGAAGTTGAACGATGAGAAAAGGATGCTATCATCAACTCGTTCCAGCCACACCTTAGTAATAACTTTTGATCTTCCATTGGTAACGAGGTAAAATGAGGGATGAGTCTAGCCCATGCTACCAGTTGAAACATCTGTTTATTTGAAGCGTGGCGTATCTGCAACATTAGATCCTAGTGAACGTTAATTTCCCTGGATTACTAAGATTGTTTATATATAATTTTAATTTATAAGATGAAAGAGGAGAGAAAAAAAAGAAAAATAAAGTCAGATAATCAATTACGTACAATTATGGTAAAATATGTTAATTACAAGTGCCAATTTATTGATATTAACCAAATAATAGCTGATTAGAGAATGCAAAAGTATTTTTTTTTTTTTAAGAAAGAATAATAAATTATAAGAAAGTAAATTTGTAAAGTAGAGTTGAATTACCAAATTTCAATCTATTGATCTCAAAAATAGAAAGACAAGTTTTATAATTGATCAGAACAAATACACATTGTAATAAATTAATAAATCATTAGATTCAAATATTTAGTAAGTTCTAAATATTAAGGATAAGAAACTATTTATAGCAATAACATAGGGAATAAGCATTATATAAACGTGGATAAAAATGAAATTAAAGTACCTTTTCTTCGGTTGTTACAATTTGTTGGATAATCTTGCATTCAACTCTCTTCTCAGCTTCTAAAATACGTTCGATCGGCATATCAGCATGAAGACTGCTTGTACTTTCAACTTCACTTTGATCTCGTTCCTTGGTACGTTGTCGTTCCTCTTGTACAGCTTCTCGTTTCATTCCCATGGCCAAACATTTTTGATATCGACAATATTGGCAACGATTTCTCTGTCTTTTGTCGATTATGCAAGATTTTTCTTCGCGACAGGCATACGAGAGATCCTTGCGAACGGTCCTTTTGAAAAATCCTTTGCATCCTTCGCAGCTGAAAATTTATTATTATTATTTTATTTGTTTGAGATTTGACATTAATTATTTTTAAATGTCAGAACTTTCCAATATTATTTCTCTGTTTTGTTTTAGAGATATTCCGAAGTAACGTAATTAGTTAATTAATTTTAATTAATGAAAGTTTTGTTCGTATAGCTACGAGCCAATCTGTTCTTTTGAAATTCCTGAATTTTCATAATTTTCTTTTATCTTTTGTTCAAGCGGATATTATATTTGTTTGATCTAATCAATTAGTTATATAATTAATTAAACTTTTGCTCACAAAACTTCGAACCGTGATTTATACTTTGCTAAGATTTATATTTAAATTTACGATAATATTTTTTGCTTATAACTTTAAAACAATATATTGTTCGAAAATGTTGGAATATTTATACAATATTTTCATTTTTCATCTCTACACATTTTATATATTATAGATTAATACTGAATATAAAGATTTTTCATTCAAAATTTTAGAAATATTACAACATTCATCATTTCTTTCTAACACTTTTCATTTGTTTTTCTTATAAACAATTAACTACAAACTCTCTCTCTCTCTCTCTTTTTCTCTTTAATGAATCACGTTTCTTCGTTTTTGAATTTGGATCATATCCAAAAGATTCCGACACTTGGACTCTGCCAGGAAAACAAAACGAACATTCCACGAAGTGAATTTATTTTGGTTACAGCTTAACTACCTTCTCACATGTTATTACATTTCAAGATCAAATCCATTAATTAGGATATACTTATTATTTTATATTAATCTTTCTTTCCTTTCCCCTTTATATATATATTTTTTTTTTCATTTTTTAATAGAGATATTCACGTCAAAGATAATCATTATCGGATACAACGTAGCGTAACGTAACTTACATCAACGTAACAACTACGAGGACGGATGGAAATCAAGCATAGAGGAGTCAACGGAGAAAAAGAGAGAAAAACAGAGAGAAAGAGAGAGAAAATATAGCGTGCAAGGGAGAGGAACCTTGGTAATGGCCGTGATTACTTAATTAGCTGCCACTGGAGTAAAGTGCCTATAGGACCATGAGAGACGGGTATATCGCTATCTCTTTCACTCACATACACATGCACTGATACATACACTATATACTCAACACACGTGCACATATATGCATGTCAGATATATACGTATATAAAGATTGTTTATAAGACCATGAGAATCATATCGGTATCTCACTCTTTTACAAACACAAACATACGTACATATGTATACATATAAATGTGTGAATAGATATATATTTATATATATGTATGTTACTTATAGGATCAGAAGAGACGTGTATATATCGGCATCTTTCTTTCATTCTCTATCTTTCTCTTTTTCTCTTTCGTATAAACACATTTATATGTATGTATGTATGTATATGTGTAGGATATAGATATACGTATATATATATTGCAGTTATAGCACATAGGAACTACGGCTGGGTAACCGTCCTAGCCTCGTGAGCGAGCTTGTGCAACGCACGATACAAGTCCAAGGTTAACTTAGATCTGATGCAACGCGAGAAGAACGACCATTGTCGTCGAGTTATGAGAGAATTTGAAAATAAATGTGATCTCTGATTTTTTATAAATAATTATCATAAGAGAAAGAAAGTTGAGAATAATAATTTTCTTTTTTTTTTTTAATGAAGGTTTGTAATAAATTTGAGAATCCCTTTTAATAATTTAAAAGAAAGTAAACGCGCGATATTTGTGTTGAGTTATATTAATTAATCGATATTAAAAGTTTAAATAAAAAATTTAGTTTTTTTTTTTTATATACGTTTACACGATCAAAGATCGTTACTTAGATTCTAATGTTTTTTATTTTTATATGTACTCTTTTTGTTTTTACTATCTCACAAAGTGAGTTTAGTGATAGAAAAAAGATAAAACGAAATAGAAAGAGAGACAGAGAGAAAAAGAGAGGATGCTTTTGATGTTTCAGAAGAAATGCAAAGTGCTTGCACAGATGGCATAAACTTACTTATAGTATACTATTTCCACGTGTAAGCAAACTTATATAGTCACGTGTGAGATGAAGAACCAACGATATATTATATATAGAAAATATAACACACATATATATATATATAAAATTCTTTTCGAGATATCTTATCAGTTTTTTTTTCTGTCGCACAGATCGTATATTAACCTTTTTCAAAGTTCTTATTTTAACTACAGGGTGTCTTATAACTGATGATACAAGCGTACAAGGGATGATTCTACGTGAAATAATAATTTTAAGTTAGCAATGTAGAATTAAATTTCTTTCTATAAGGGTTACGATTAGTTTTGAAAAAATATAATAAGTTTATGCATTTTATTGAGTTGCAATAAAGGAAATAAAAAGCCCTTGTTTAATCTTAATAAGCATAAGAGTAATATAAAAATATTATTTGCAAATATATTAAAAAGTACTCAAGTAAAAACAAAACTATGTATAAACAAATTTTACTAACAATTGTATTATTAGTTACAGGACACTCTGTATATAAAATTCATCTACTATCTGTGATTATTAATCCTTGTCATGTAAAATAATTATTCGATTATTTATAGTATTTTATATTTATTTTTTGTTTAAAATGGATTTTTTTCGTTTTACCGCATTTTTTCTTTTTTCTTACGTTAAGAAAGCAACAAACTCGTATAAAATCGTTAATTTAATTAATTATAAGAACACAATCAGTATATCAGAGTCAAAGTTCATTGCCAAAGTCTTCATTACGGGGAACTAGAAAATGATTGATCGATCGATCGAACATAATCGTTAATTTTTTTACAATATTATTATATTAATACAGTAGATATTTGTTTAATTAAGAAGAGAAAGCTATTATTGAGAATTTTATTTAAAATTCATTCGTTAATTTGCTTCATTTGGGATCATAAAGTCATAACAATATATTATAATTTAATCTGTGTTTGGTTTTTTTTTTTTTTTTTTTTTTTAATTTAATAATGTATATTGGATGAATCAAAAGTTTTTTTTTAAGTAATTTAAATAATCAATTAATCTTTTAACAAAATCTTTAAAAATTATCAATTAAACTAACAATGTTATAAACATGGTTTGCAGTTTAATTAATTTTGAAAAAAAAGAATTATGTCGAAATAATTTGAAAGAAAATAATCAATTTTTAACATCACCTAAGAACTTTTGCTCCACCTTGTATATTGTGTGTACGTATATATGTTTCTTGATAACCAGCCATTTTCCTTTCTGATAATTCTATCTCGATGTTGCTTTCACAATACATCCGTACAATATTCTTTCACATTCCATCTTTATTCCATGCGAATTTTTCTTACTTTATTACTCGGTGAACGTGCAAGTGCATTTTTCTGCATTGTAAAAGTGCATCCTTGTTCATAAATTATTCTAATATCTATTTAAAGAAACACACTCGTTCGTTTTTCTTTCTCTAAGAACACAATAATACTTTTAATAATTATTATTTACTCAATTATTGCAATTAAAATTCTTTCACGCGTTATAATTATAATCAAATAAAAAAATATTATTGAATTGTTTTCAAAAAAAAGAAATTTATAAATGATATATATATATATATAGAATTTTTATTTTATTTAAATGATAAGTTCTACATAATTTCTAAATCAAAATATTGAATTTATAATTATAAAAATGTCGTAATTTAAATTCTACGATTATTTTCTATTTTTAATAGAAATATAAGAATAGATAATGACAGAGAGAGTAATAAAAATTAATAATTAAAAATTACAAATTAAAAATAAAAATTAAAAATAAAAATTAAAAATTAAAAACAAAAATTAATAATTAAATGTATATAAAATATTTACCTATAAACACCATAATGTTTGCCACTAGCTCGATCACCACAAATCGAACAAAGATGTTTGCTGCCTGACAGAGGGTGATTCGGTGGGTATGGTGTAACCGCTTTGTTCTGTCCACTTGGCGAGGTACTCAAGAGGTTGCTGTGACAACCAGCAGCGTTGAAGGATCTTTTACATGTAAAGAAGAGAATAACAAAAAATATCTACGGGTATCGTTACGACTCTGGATAATCAATAAGAGACCCACAAGATATATTTCTTTGTTATTTTTTTTTTTAATCATTTTACTCATTTGCAATATAAGGAAATATCAAATTAGATCCAAAAGCTCAATAATTATTCCCAAAACATTCAAGTTCGTAACGACCTACTAAAAACGTTTTGAAACTGAACTAAAAAATAACAAATATGTTAAACTTTATTTTATTTTATTTTATTCTTTTTTTCAGACTTACCCTGGACTGTTAGGACCTGAAGGACTGAAGTTTCCTGGACTTATTAGACTAGCCGTATCGGGTTTGATGTCAAGTGGACTCTGTGGGCCTACTGATGACATCGACATGTTGCTATTATCCAGGCTTAACCCTGAAAAAATTACGATAAGTATATATATATATTATAGAAGATTATTATAACATTAGATTAAAATCATTATCATTTTAGTATCATCTTTCATGTATGACAAAATACTAGGTATCTTCGATGTTGTTGAAAATATGAATAAATAATACAAAAAAATAAAAACAAGAAAACTATTGGATGTTATAAAAGATTATTTAAAATTACAGGAAGAAGAATAACATGTTGTTACATGTGAAACGTGAGTGAGAAGTATCTTCAACGAAACAACAACGTTCACGTGCTGGATCATCGTTGTCTATTGATCGATCGAACGATCGATCAATCGATCTTTCTTTATTTTATTTTTATTTTTCTTGCTTGTTTGCTTGCTTGGTCGTTTGTTAGTATCTTTCCTACGTTGGAGAAAGCCAAGAGGAGGACTCGCTTCAAGGCCAACGAACATACACGCCATCGAAAGGGACGATCGTTGATTCTCGATCAGCACGTTCGGAGAGAAAGAAAACGTATGCAAACCGATTTTATGGCAGGTGCATGCGCATCGAAGACAACGATCTTTTATCGAAAATTCTATATAAAGGATATTTTAAACTATATACTTGAATATATAATTTAACATGTTAGTTCTTATATATGAAAATATTTTATATTTTAATATTTAATATTTTACTTATTTCGTTTATTTTCTAATTATTTATTAGTAATTTTAATAGTTATATATTAATAATAATATTGAAAAGTGGAGGAAAGGTATTTTTTTTAAATTATTATAATTATTGATTTTTTTTTATTTTCTTTTTTGCAAATTAATTTTTGTTCACACATTGCATATTTACAAATCTAAACTTAATAATTTTATAAATTAATTTTCTGAGATATATATAGTATACAATTATTAAATGTTTTACAAGTTGAATGAAAAGTTTTTCATTGAAGGTGTTGGTATTCAAATTTTATAATAAGTTACAAAAGTCTTATAAAAAGAAGAAATAATGTAATGAGAAATTTTTTACAAAATGATTTAGAAACTTTTACACTTGTATATAATTATTATACTAATCTATTGTGTTTCTTTTTTGTTAGAGGAAGTGCATATTGTGTACCATCTGACATTGAAATTCAGAGAAAAAAAAAATAGAAAAAAGAACAAAAGGAAATTGGAAGTAATGGTCAGTGAAGAAAGTTTTGCATATGCTATCCATAAGGCATAATGATGAGCAAGTTTCGTGAGCTTGCGAAAAGACGAGGGTATTCATTATAAAACCTCTCCTCCTTCTCCTCCATCTCCTCACCTTTCATCCTTTTCCTTCTCTACTTCTGCTATTTTTAAGCCGAAGGACAACGAGGATCAATGCACTTGCTTGCATATTATTTTTTTTTCTCACTATTTTTATTTCTTAAAAATTGTATCTAAAAACGTTCATTAAGTCGAATCATTTTATACCAATCGATTTTTTTTTTATTTAATATATGGCCGATTGAAAAATAAAAAATACAGGGTGAAATCAATTGTCATAATTTTATATAGGTATGTATACATTAATATTATATTAATAATATATAATAAATATAATATTATATATTATTTCTATATATTATTTTATGAAGTATCACATTTTAATCAAATCATTTTAATTATTTTCTATTTAATTAAAAGTAAATTAAATTATTTTCAATTATCTCCATGTGCTACAAATTTATATAAAAAAAAAAAATTAAAATAAAGATAGTTTGACAAAAATGACATTCAAACAAAGTGTCATCATTCTGATCAACGTCTATTGCATTTTATTAATTTAAAGATACTGATAACAAAATTGATAATTAAGGAAATGAAATGAAATTGTTCAATGAAAAAATTTCGAATTTACGAAAAAAAAAGAAAAGAAATAATAACAATAATAAATAATAAATAATAAAAGAGAAATAAAATGATGGCAATGAAGAAGATAAATGACATTTTAATTGAACTAATGTAAGACTAAAACGAGACCAAGTCGTCGATGACACTGGCCCCTTCTCATCGACGTGGATGATGACCGAGAAAAAGACGCTACAGAGTGTAAATTAAAATAAATAAAGAAAAAAAGAAATGAAATAAAGTAATAAAATGAAAAAAGGAGAAAAAGAGAAAATGAGATGAATCAGTATAGAAGAGCGAACGCATTAATACTAGTTGTTGTTATGTTGAAGAGGACACGTCAAGTGCATCGGTAATTCTACTGACTGACGTCACATATATTTTCCTTTTATTTTTTTTCTCTCTTTCTTTCCTTCTTTCTTTCTTTCTTTCTTTTTTATTCATTCGAGAGTTATGTCTTTGTTCATTTTGCAATGATCGAAAGAGAGTGGGTGGGGAGGGGGAGAATAGTGGAAGTAAACGTAGACTCAAAGATAACACTTTATCATGATTCAATCATAAATTTACATGTTTTAAAAAAAAAATGATATTACGTCGATGAAATATATACCTTCAACTCAATGTCTGACCTTTGAAAAATGACCTTGAAAAAACAAAAATATAGAAAAATTAACGAAAATACGATATATCGGTCGAAATTATTTTAATCATCGTACAAAATGATAGAAAGTTTGTTTAACGGTTTGTTCAATTTTTATTGTTTCCTTTGCAATTATTTTTCGTATCGTTTGTTGAATAAAAATTAATTTAATTACATTCTAGTTAAATGTGATAAAAGAAAACGAAAAAAGTACAACTTTTCATTGAAATATTTAAATAAATATTACGTAAATTTTTGATCCATTTGATGACGTACGAATTGTTCATAATAAAACAAATTTATTTTTGTTATTTAGTTACGAAAATAAACGACGAATAGAGAGAAATATAATATGTTCATTATTTGTATCGAAAATTGTCTAAAATTATTACATGGTCAAATAATTTGAACCGATAGTGCGTAACGTGCATCGATAATAGACGATAACAAACAATAACAATAATAATAATAATAAGTAAATTAAATCATGACAAATTTATTTCGCATAACAATAGTTAGTATTATTATTAGAAAAATATAATTGACTTTAATTCAATATCATAATTACGTACCATTAATATATTCACATTGAAATCGTACGAAATGATTAATAAATTACTAATAGGATCGAAGTATTTCAAATGTAATTTAATATGTAATGAAAACTATGCTCACATTAGTATAATTGTCATCATTTATGAATATTTATGAGGATGCACCTATTAGAATTATAATATACAAGTATGACGCACGCGCGCGCGCGCGCGCGCGCACATGACACGTCAGGGATAACATACGACACTAACCATGCATTTGTGTATATGCTTATACATGTTATATATGTTTAAAAGAAAAGAAATAGAAAACAAAAAGAAAGAAAGAAGAGAGAACACAAAAAAAGAAAAGGTTGAATATTTTCTTATGTTAGTCGATTAGATTTGTATCGAGGTCGTAACTCTCTCTCTCTCTCTCTCTCTCTCTCTCTCTCTCTCTTTCTCTTTCTCTCTTGATCTCTCATGGCAAACGTACGTGCGTCGTTGTGATGTGTGTTGTCTATTTCGAGTTGTCGTGTTGTTCGATGCATGTCTCTCGTCACTGTCATTTATTAAAGCTCCTAGCCAAGCCATTGCTTGCTTTAATTACGCAACGAGAGTTCGAAAAGCAACGATGGAAGGTCGTCGACAGCCAACCACAATGACGATTCAAATTTGCAAACAACTTGAAAATCTTTTTTATATGCATAATATCGATTTAATGAAAGAAAGAGAGAGAGAGAGAGAGAGAGAGAAAATTAAAGATTGCTGGATATTACCCTAAAGGGTTGAAAGGGAAAGAGGAGTTGTAAGAGATCATTTATTCGTGATTAATTAATGTTTCTCTTAATTAAGTAACGTTGCTCTTTCATTTCATTTCATTTCACTTTTTTTCTTCTTTTATTAGACGAGAATTGTCATTAGAAAATAGTAATTTGAAAGTGAAAAATGATCGTTATTTCAAGCGTCTATTTCAAGCACAAGTTGGTTATATAATTATGATCAATGACTTTTGTTAATTAGTTTGATTTATTTATTTACTTATTTTTCCTTGTAGTAAGTACGAGAGTTGTATTTAATTATAAAAAAAATATAATTATTGTATTTACGAGTGATAGTAATCTAGGGTCTAACTTTGATGTTCATTTTGGAATATTTTGATTTATTCTTTATTTTTATAAATTATTATTAAGCTTAAGCCATGTGAATGTGACGTTCTCAAATTTTGTTCTACATATATCAAGAAATATTAAAGCAGCAATATAATCGTTTCACATAATTTCACTCGTTATCGATAAACTCTCTCTCTCTCTCTCTCTCTCTCTCTCTCTTTACCATTGAAGCTCGTGAATATTATCATTTCGTTGGATAAAGACCATAAATGCGACTTTGTGCGAAAGCATTAGAGTAAACGAGAAAGAGAAGCATAATGTGTAAGTGAGGTAGCTCGTACGAGGACGAGGACGAGGACGAGGACGAGGACGAGGACGAGAGCTGGGCGGGAGTATTTGCAAGGCCAAACCCGGGTGACGTTAAACACACACTATGAAAACTATACATATATATATGTGTATATATGATGAAAGTAGTGGACGGGCACCTTGACCAGACGCAAACAGGCCGGTGCAACGTTCGAAAACTTGCCTACGTCTCTTAACAGGATGTATCATCATCCATATCGCATAAATTGCCTGTTCAAATTTCGTCGAGACAACACAACCATGATTTTGATATTGAATTATTCATTAGATTATAATATATTTTTAAACTCTCTTTCTCTATCTATCTATTTCTATCTCTAATATATTATGTATTTGTATATCGAATTTATCTGTATTTTGTATATCAATTTTGTTCCATACCTTATTTGTATATAGAATATCCGTTGATTTTATTTTTAAAATAAGATTTGAATTTTATTTAACAGATAAATCGTAATTTGCATGACATTTGTAAAAGTAATTTGGTAATA